TGCCGCAAGACATTTTTCAGAACGATTCCATGTTTTCAAGACTAAGTTATAAAAAAATCCTTGAAATCCATTTTAACCGCGCCTACTTCGCGAAAATTATGCTTGTGCACCCAAAAGCAGAAAAGCGAAGGAGGCTGCCATGGGCTTCACAGCAGGACCTTTTTGCTAGATTATCCAATGGAAAGTTTCAGCGAGCTTTAGTATCGCTATAAGGGTGCCTAGCGCCGGCAGCCGCCGCTGGCAGCCCGTAACCGCAGCTGGCCGCTTTGTCATAGAAGCGCAAAATCATCAAATTCTTGCTATTTCAAGCGCAAATGCTCACGCTTTCCATCTTCCACGCTTTTTCCTCCCTTTTGGCAATTCGATCTCATATATCATACTTGTGGCCATTGCTGTTAAAATCTTGTTGCCGTAGATTGGTTATCTTATTGGTGCTCAGTTTCCCTTCCGCAGTTGAACCATATTTGCCAAAGTTTCTTTGCGGTGTGATCGTCTGATTTCGGATGCGTCCAGTTTTCGCAGTGTTTATTTTTTATGCATGGTTCTGCTTCAAGTATATCCTTGGCCGGTGCTTATCTTAGGTAACTCTGTAATGTGTGAAAGTGGTACTGCAGATTGGCCGCAAAGGGAGGAAAAAAGTGGAAGATGGAAAGCGTCAGCGCTTGCGCTTTGACAAAAGCGGCCAGCGGCGGCTACGGGCTGCTGGCGGCTACTGCGGGATGCTACGGGCTGCCAGCGGCTGTTACCGGTTGCCAGCGCTACGAGCTGCTAGCGGCAGCTGCCGGCGCGGTATGAAGGCACCCTAAGAAATGGCCTCATGTATCGGGAGACATTATCAAAATGTAGAGTTGCGCATGATTGCGATGGTCGGTGTGTGCGGCCATTGCCTGAGAAGGATTCCATAAGGTTCCTTCATCCAGTGAACAACTCCATATTTTTCAGAATCGCTACAGGGAATCAAAAGCTAACGTATGATTGTGGAAAAGCGTTCAAAAGAAGGTAGAGAACTGAGAGAGCTCTATGCATAAGCAATGGTATACTCACCGATCTTTGCTATCATGCAAAGCTCTACGTTGTCGTTCGGGGACACTTTACGAAATTTGGTCAAAGCCGCTTTGAAAAATTTACATGTCTGGGTTTTTCAGGAACTAGAAGCTTTTCAAAACATGACACAGTTCCTGAGAATCAGCCTGAGTTTCAGTTTGTATCATTTCAATGTAAAATTTCACGGGAACTGCTGAACATCTGTTTTGGCCGCTTCTATTTCGCGAAGATCCTACTTCTGCTTTAAAAAATCAAAAAGAGCAGAGGAGGATTGTTCTCGAAGGGAGGGTAGCTGCAGCAGCTTTACGCGGCAGTGCGTTTCTGTTGATAATTTTTCAGTTTCAACGTAAATTATACAGAAGCTCGCTTGAAGTCCACTTTTAACCGCTTTTACTTCACAGAAATCACATCTCTGCTTTTTATAACAAAGAAGACAAGGGAGCTTGGTCTCGAAAGTGAGGTTCCAAGAGCTTCAAGCGGCAAACATTTCTCTCAAGAATTTCTCAGTTTCAATGCTAAATTATACAAATTTACGTCTCAAAGAAAGTTCCCGGGCACTTGCAAAAAAATTTTTTTAAATTGCTGTAAATTCAAGCAGATTGATTCTTCTTTGAAGCTACAAACTTCTTTGCAAAGACAATTTTGTTTACAACATATATTTATCTTGCTGGCTTTTCAGCGTCTCGCTGCGATTCACCTGCGTAGAAGGAAAAAATCGACGCGAAAAGTAACCTATTTGCGCAGAATATCTCAGGCATGATGAGAGCTGGACAGCTCATTTGCTGTAGTTATATAGAAGTCTGCTGGAGCTGTCTTGGAAACTATTCACGCTTTTGAGCAACTATCTGCAAAATATTATATAGAAGTCTGCTAGGCCTATCTTGAAACTATTTACGCCTTTGAGCGACTATCTGCAAAATAAGTTTTCCAGAAAGGTTAAGAAATCGACCATTTTTGCCTCAAAAATGCACCATTTTTCGAGTAAGCAACTTTGAAGTCTTCTCGTTCTCCACAGCAGGAACCAAATCTTTGATTATTGCGAAGATTGTTGGGCTAATGCCTTATACATGTTTTGGACCCAATGGCGATCCTCCCAGAAGCGATGTCAGTTGCGAAAATAGTTGCAATCAGAGGCAAGTTTGACAGCTTGTAATTTCTGAGCGCAATCGCAAAACGAGTGCAGCTGCGGGTCAGAAGCTAACAGTCTCCTCGATTGGATCACACACAATTTGGACGAACCTATGAACTTCACAAAAAAATGGCCGCAGGAAGAAAAATTGTGAAATTTCATGGTTAGAAAGCTTTCCTTTTTTGATGTGCAGATCATACATGCTTTGGCATCAATGAAAATTAGAAGAGGCTTCGAAAAGGTTAGGATTCCCTCTACCGAACAGTATAAAAACTCGGTGTCAAAGTCCGACGGGAGCAGTAAAAAAATGCATCAAAAAACGAAATCTTCAGAAGTGCCCAGACTCTTCCTTTACAACCTAATATTTCGCAGAAGTTATACCTCTGCCCCCTATAACAAAGAAGCAAAACGAGAGCTTGATCTCGAGGGAAGGAAGGCCTAAGGGCTTCATGCGGCAGTGCATTTCTGCTAAGAACTTCTCAATTTCAATGCTAAACTGTACAAAAGCTCCCTTAAAATCCAATTTGGCCCCTTTTATAATACTTCGCAGAAATCATACCTCTGCCTCCTACAATAAAGAAGCAAAGCAAACTTGGACTTGAGGGAAGGAAGTTTCCGAGGGTTTATGCGGCAAGATTAATGCTAACTTGTCAAAAATATTGCATGAAACCCATTTTGGCCGCTTTTACTTCGCAGAAATCATACTTCTGCCCTCTTTAGCAAAAAAGGAAAGGGGACTTGGTCTTGTGGTCTCAGTCTATGAGGCAGGACATGTTTGCTAAGATTGTCCAAAAGAAAGCTTTGAGCGGACTTGATCTCTCTTCAAGAAATGACTTCGCGAGGTAGTATAAGGAGAGTATAGGACTGTGCATTATCGCGAAGCTCGATGTGTTTGCGGCTGTTGCACATTCCTGAAAGTCAGTCTAAATTTCGGGTTGAACTTTCTACGTAGATGACTGCTTAGGCGATTTCCATTTTTAGGAGGTGGGGTTGGGTCTTTGCAAGAAGACAGCGTATATGATTTGGTACTCAGTCGCTGTAAAAAGTTTCCTTGAGCCTGATCTTGCTTCTATTACTAACTACTTGCATTGCGAAAAAGATCGTTGAATAAATGGGATTTCATTCTCTTGCTATTCTTAGTTGCACGCAGACAATTACCAATGTATCTGCCCCAGCCCACTTACTAGCGACCCGTAGGGTCGCTAGTCTATAATAATATTTGACTCATTTGACAGCTTTTTACTTGCTGTACGGATTTCGCACGACCGCATTGCCTTCTAGGCAGGACCGCCGCCGACACAGCCTGCATTGGCTTTTGCCTATGCAAAGCACAGGGAAAAGCAAGATTTGTCGCGTGCGTGACGTGTTAGGACAAATTCATTGATGTGGCGCTAGAGATCGCCCATGCGAAAAGACTGTCCCTTTTTCCTTACTTCGGGCCTAAACCATATTATCGTGTTTTCCCTATGTATTTTTCTATTTAGACATAGCCATACATTGCTGGTTGTTATGGGAGTAAATTTGCCTTTGTTCAAACAAGCGCCACATTTCGGGAACAAAGGTTGCAAAGAGATCTTGGTAGCTTCGAGCAGCTTTTCTTCCTTCAGATGTTATAATTTCATTGCGGCATAGCCAAGCGGCTCTCAGGAAGTTGCCAAAATCTGCAATCCATCCTGAGAATGTCACATTTCACTAGTTTCCTTATTTTCTGCACCAATTCTCTGAAGAACTCTCGTTAAGATGGTTAGATCAAACGCTATAGGACACAAAACAGTCTTTTTCCTCTTCCCGCAAAGGAATTTTGTGCTGCTATCGAATTGCATATTTGGTCAACTTAATCCTCACAGAGCATCAACCGGCGAGTAACACGGTATCATTTGCTGTAACCCCCCACCCCCCCCCCCCCACCCTCTTTTCTAATGGTGTTTTTTGTCGCCTATGCTTGAGTCTTCTGGGATAGAATTGCCATGATTTAGATACGTTATTATACGCCCGGGCTGCACTGAAAATTCGAGATATGACGATGAATCCCTGAACGTTTATTTGCTTTGTAAAACCATTTTAAATCCTACAAGTTTTCGAAAATTTTTGAAACATGAAGGTTTGTTGGTGTTTGATGATCCTGCGCCTGAGGTAGGCCTGCAAAAGGTGAACCCAGTAGAAATTTCATTTACGGCGTGATACGGAAAGAGGGAGCGAGGTATTTTGTACCCTGAATGGTTTACTCAATCTAAACGCTATTTGGACTTTTTCAAGAATCGATATAAAAATCTGAAAAAATGGTGAAACATGGTACGAACCATGGTTTCATCGTCATTTCTAGTAACGTTTTGAAAGCTCGTTGGTTGCTCTGCAACGCAATCATAATTGAAAAAAGCTAAAAAAACTTCATCAAATGCGCCCAAAAGCTTCCAAGGACTTTGTCTGCGGGATGTTACCCTCATCTGACAAAGGAACGACCTAAATTGTGAGCTGGTAACTATGCTTGGTGTTTTGTCTCTTGCAAAACTCCTATTTTATAAAGTGAAAAATTACAGCAACAATCTGAGTAATATGGAAGTTTACCTTGCAAAGCAAGAAAATCTAAACAAAGCACAAACATGAGTTCCATTGTATTTCTAAGAAACTCAAACTGACTTGTATGTGCCTTTTCTTTCCTTCTCATAGGTTTTATTAACATGTAGCTATAATCGTTTATCAGCTTATAATACAAATATTCGAAGCTATTATTAGTGAAATGTAGGGGCAACAACTCAAATGCAACATCGTCATGCAAGTACGCCCCTTTATATGAGGTAGGACGTGGAGGTAAACTGCGCAACCTATTTCACACTCGTTCGCTTTCTTGGCCTTTGGTGAATAGTGAACTTGCTATGGCTAGTACGCTGACGACAAATCTGTCTGTTCCTTTTCTGACTCCGGAATCTCGCCCTGATATTGTTAATGTATGACATCTCCCGCTCACTTCTTTCATGTGGAAGAACCGACAACGGATCGATCTGAAAAAGACTATACATAAATTTCTGATGCAGACATCGTTCAATCTTCTGACTTACTCATTCACTAATAAAGCGGCAAGAGGAGGCATTCCAAACCGAATCACAATTGCTGTTTGTAGCACTTGATGATACAGATCACTATCAGATGCTGGACGATGCCATAGATACAAAGAGATGCCAGTGACTCCGAATATACAACAAGAATGGAATAGCAGAGGAAATTCGTGGCGAGATGAAGCAATTAGTCGTCGCTTAAGAGATATAACTACACATAACTGTAATAATAAATGCACTTAGAAAAAAATAATCTTGGTTTCCGGAAAAGTGTTCTCAGCGTATTTTCACAGTGTCAAATCATACGCTGCGTCTCACACTATTCAAGGTCCAATAGGCTTCGAAAGCAATGACTCGGCAAAATTGAAAGTTCCGAGATTTCAAGGTAGTAGTTTACTTATGCCTCACATAAGAAGAGCAACTGATCGCGAAACGTGCTCCTTTGCTTAAAAAGTTTCCTCAACCCCGTGGGCGCAAGTCAGTTTTGTGCGTCCTCGGACGAGTGCGCGATTTCCCCCCCCCCCCTCCCATCCCCAGCGTTGGAAGCGCGATTTCATAACCACAATGATCTCGCAACGACTCTTTGGCTCTGACGGCAATTCTCACTCGTGCCAATGAGAGGAAAGCCCCGAATATGCTCGGTTTTGCTAGTTGTGCGCCTTCTAATGTGAATCGAGACCAGCGTACTGCACAACCACAGGTATGAGAATTTTTTAGATCACGGATTTGCCGGACCATTGCCTTCAAACTTCTCAATAAAACTATCTATCAGTATGGCTAGAAGCAATAGTGAGATAACAAAAATAACTTTTCTTAGCGAAGAAATGAAATTACCTTTCGCAGCAGATAAACGAAGATGATTACGTAACAAGCTGTACTGCATAAAATGACAAACTCTGCAAACCAAAAATCCACGAAATTGACAATTGTGGATAATGCGGAGTTCTCTGGAAAGATCAACAATGCAGTCTGCTCATCGACAATTACAGTAAATCTCACTGATTTTGGCAATGAATTGAAATGAAGGAATGCTAGCTGTCCATATGCATGCCATATCTCCAGATAAACAAGCAGCTGTGTTTAGAACACCGAATACAATGCAGATAGAGATGTAAAACTGAAAACTGATGGATAAAATACGGACGACTGCAGCTGTGGGCTCTATCGAGCCTAGCCGCGACTCAGAGGCTTCGATCGCGCCGCAGACAATGTACGCAGTGCGTGCGTTATCTGTGGCGTGGAACAAACGAGAAATTCGTGACCGTTGGTTCATGATCAGCATGCAGTTTCCGAGGAAAATAAATTTTATCCTTAGAATACAAATATGGTTATGATATTAATTGTAATTTTTTCAAATTTTATTCAGTTTATAATTTTGAATCTTAGTGTTGAGTACTTTTTTTATTTATTGGTGAATATTGCCTAGAATTCTTGGCTAGTCGTAGGCACAATTTTTTGTGCAATATATAAAATTAGATAAAAATTACCTTTGTCCAACTTTCTCCAAAAAATGTTGCAACCTTGAAAGGTAGAACTACTGCTACCAGCCGATTAATAGCGACGAAGAGGATCATGGGGTAATCTGCAGCCCATGTACCTTGGAAGATAGCACCATTTACCTAAAATAGAAACACTCATTGGAAAATGAAGGTAAAAATGAAATGAAAACTCACCTCGTTAAGTATAGGATTCATCTCATAACTTTCCAATGTGCATAATTGTGCTACTATTTGAGTAATACTATTAATAAGATCAACAACTGAACTATGCACCATAAAATGATACCCGGCTAATTTTCGAAGAGAATGTGAACGCATTATAACCTGAAAAAACTATTCTGCAGAAAAATATCAAATTTTCCGTATAAAAACTCACCAAAATCATTTGAGTATGCAGGATAACGAAGAGGAACCCGGCAAGAATGTTGAAAATAAAAAATGCTTTTCGATACGGCCATTCATAACCAACGCCAACACGAGTTCCGTTCTCCATAATGGCAGGTTTTATTTTGTAGAGATGAAAGCGCCCTAAAAGCTCAACTTTACGAAAGTATCCCATGAGACTGATGCGACTGAAATTTGCGAGTTTTGGGAAAACTTATGTACAAGTACTTGGAACAACTATAAAAGAAAATCAAAGCTTATTGTGTGCATATGAAGACAATTACAAAATAAGAAGCACTACCACAGCGAAACCTCATGAAAAGCTGTCTTTTCAATAACTCCAATATCATCTTGAACTTCAGATCTTGAACTTGCTTTTTGTGACGTGATATTAACCCTCTCACTTTGTATGCAGATATACATTTAAATAGAACCGCATTGTAGATCAAAATTTTTCGTTACTTTCAACCTGCTACCAGTAATTCTTTTTTCACGTCCATCAAAATCGTAAAGTGAATGCTAACCTGAATATCTGTAGAAACGGTACTGTGAAAAAGCAACTTCACACAAAATCTACGTTAAAGGGAGTAAAATGCTGATGAATTTCTCAATCCCACTGATTTTGTACCCATTCTGCAAATTCTAGTACACTGTAAGCACTATAAAGAGTTTGCTATGCTTTCTTTACGTATTGAAATTATTCTTCTCAAAGGTTACTCATAATCATGATCATGCACTTTTAGGTAGTTTGCCGTTATTCGGGCCCATTTCTTCAAGAAGAAAATAGTTAAATCGGAAGAAGTGATGAATAATTCTAAATACTAATGTTGTATTCATAATCAGCGTGCTCAATTAGCCCCCCCCCCCCCTCCCCCTGTGCCAACTCTCAGCCCCATAGGTCGAACTTTGCAAAAAAAAATCGACAAAAATTAGTAAAATCGATATCGATCGATAACAAAAAGTAGTGTACGACACCCGCCCCGCCCCAAAGTGTATGTGTGCAAAATTTGGTCCGGATCGGATAGCAAAAGATGTGTTGAGTACGGCTAAAGCTTCATCGTGATGGATTTTTCGCATGACCGATTGACCAAAAATTCGACCTCAAGAGGTAAGGGACTCAAACTAATGTGATTTTGCCGGCCTTGCACGCTATGACTAAGATGTTGCTTTACAGCTAGCTCAAAGTAAAACTAAAGAAAAACGTTTGGCGAGTTTCGAAAACAATCTAGTTGCGCATATGACTATAAGAAGTGCTCTCCGCAAACGATAGCCACCAAAAGGGTGTGACTGTGCAATAAGATTTGTCAACAAGGAGATTTATAACTGATTGAATTGATCAACTTTACAATTAAGCAGTTTTAGAAACTATTACACATGTAGACCTTACAACGACTTCAGTTGAGAGTAATACAGTATGTCCCAAAAGATGTGCCTATGTTGGACCGTTAAGAACTTTCTTGGCATGAAGCCATTTAAGAAATATTTGGCACCGTTTTGTAGACGCAACTTCAACTGGATTTACAATATGGAGCGATTCATCGACCGCTGTTCATTACTGTGGGATTACGGTAGGAATTTTGAAGAAGGATTTCAGCCATTGTCGGCCTTATTTCGGTTTAGAAAGCAAACCAAACAGCATGGGAGTGCAAGCACAAAAGAGCTTTCCGAAAATTCTAAGTTCACCATCTTAGTCTTATCAAGGAATTTTGGATCAGAGTGATCCCAAAATTCTCATAAATCCATACAACAGCAGAAAATTCAAGAGAATGCGGGAAAGCAATGCGGAAAATTTGCGAAGGAATGTTGTAATTGCATCAGGTGGCTAGCGCAGCTCTTTTTCCAAGTATTATCTTCTTTGACTATAATCGAATTAAGCGCGGACAGAACACAGCTAGCCGAATAATGACGCTTTAGAGAATGAGTCTTGTTCTTTGAATCTGGAAGGCAAAACATGACCACTCATATGAGCGACGCAAGAAAAAGGGAGGAGGGGGGAGGGTGTCCTCCTTCTTTCGCAAAGATATACTTGTGAATGAACATAAAAATTGGGGAGAAAAGGTGACGTTCTCTCTTGTGAGTTGAAAAATTATTAAAATGGCTTTTTGCTCCTAATGAAGATTTGAGTAGAGGTGATTATAGAAGAAATTCAATTTCAAAATTCTTCGGAAGAAAAATGCACTTTTAGCAAATTAGTGTAGTTTATACGAGAAAAATCTGTAATATGACATTGCTATTACAAACCGCAATCTCCGCCCTCTAGACATGCATTATAGTTTCCCGCCGAATTTCTATTCATCCAGTGCAATTGCACTACACATAAATTGCCGGATGCTTTTCGATAATCGCCATTTTCGGTGCAAAGGGCAACGAGATCTGTCTGGACCAAAAAGTTGAGAGAGTTTGAGTCATACAAACATTGCGGAATCTCATGGTGTAGTGCAATTGCACCATGTGCTTGTGATTATAATAATGACCGGAAGTATACTCTTCTGTCGATCTAAGCTTGGTCCTAGTCATGTGCAACAATTTACGAGCTAATAGAGTTTCGTGCTAGTTATCATCCCTTGATGATGTTATTACGGGTAACTCATGGTCCGTAGCAAATGAGCGGTTATTAGCGGCGTGAATCATGTTCTCGGTCCTCCAATTTGCAAAGTCAAAAGATTAAAAGTATATTTCCTCATTCACGGTGATCTGCTAATGCTAAGCTTTTTCCACCGAGTGCAGCATAACAGTACCATTCTAGGATAAACTGGTGAAAGGAAAGAGGAAAGGAAAAACAATCGTTTGTTCTACCAAATTTTTTCAAAGTCGTAATTTTTTCTAATTTTAATGACTCTTTTTGAATAAATAGCTCTGCAGAAAAGATTTCTATTTAGTCGTGCTTGGAGCAAAAATGAGAAATGGCATATTGCCGATTATAACCCGACGAAAAAATGTAGGAAACATATACTTTTGAGTTAAACCGCTAAAGATGCTGGAGGAAAATTATATTTCAAGTTTGATTCGGTTTTACGACTAACGACTGAGTTGAATTCGTGCTGATCGGGTGATCTGAATACGATAAGTTGTAATCCTCGAGAGATTCTCTACCACATTCAGTATTCCGAATAATCAAAATTTTATATGCGCTTCAGTTGAAACATTTTATATCTTACAAAATTATGTACGATGTAAGTACAACATTCTTTACATACTAGAAGCGTATACTTTATAGCAATGCAAGACTTATGGGCCAACATTATCTCACTGAAGACGATGCCTCATTTTGCGTGGCGGCGCTGTAGGACGACGCGATTTTGCACAACACCTTCGGTGTGGGAAGGTTTTGTTTTTGTAAGCAATTATAAACAATTTCTTGAACGACGGATACAGGCACCAAGAGTGCAAAAAACTGAAAAAAAATATTGATATATGGGAAAAAATACTAGACCTAGAAATAATATGATTTTGCAAGAGGTGTGGGCCACCGGTGGTTCACATCGTTCTTGGCAGCAAAAAGTGCGTGATCCACCGGTGATCTACATCGTCGTCAATGGGTTATACTACATGGACATTCTTAGCCTTGTACGAGACAATAAACCAGCGGAAGTGGATCTATGTGCTGCAAGGAAGTAAATAAGTGTGGGAAGAAAGAGCAATTCATCACAATGCTCCCTTTCCTCCATATATAGCTAAACTTTCATTGATAGTTTCGAAGTACCCTTATCAAGTCATATCATAAACAGAGGGTGGGGGAGACAGCTCAAGGCTTTGAAGGTCATGATTAAGCCTTCCAATACATGCTCATCAAAAAAGGATTACACTGCTTTGCGCCAGAGGCAAGTTTAATGTTCACTTAGAGAAAGTACATTATCAATTTTTTTCTGGCGCTCTGCCAAAAACAAGTCGCATGATGTATATGATGTATATGAGAATAAGATAATCGGTGGAATATCATTATTTTAAAGTTTAAAATAAACTAGCTTTACAGAGTGGTAGAGTGGTAAGAATTGTATACAAATTGCCCAAGAATGAAGAATTCGCATAGGTGGTCGCTCCTTCGCAGCTCCCAGACCGAGAAAAAGCCGTGATAAGTGGGAAAACTCAAATTTCCGAGAAATTGCCTATTATCGCGTTTTCCTATGGGATTGTGTCGCAAATTTTAAAGAGGCACGAAGAAAAAGGGAGACCGGACAAGGAAAACATCGTTGTGTTGGTGAAGAGCCTAGAGATTACCAGATAAGGCTAAAGATGAAACATTCCAGAGGCAAAAATAATGGTCCCAAAAATAATCAAGCAAGGTAAATGTATATAGGATTAACTACGAGTTTACGAGGACAACTGCAGCTGAGTCCAGCACTATAATGTCCATAGCGCACAAAAAACCTTGGACTAGAAACCGAAGGAAAAAGAGTGAAAAAAGCAAAATTTGGAGGATAGGAAAAAATACTGACAAAATTATATTTGTCAAAAGTTTCCCTTGCAAAAGTTTGCAATTCACTCTGGCAGTATGTTTTCTAACCAGAAACAATGTAGAAAGAATAACACAATTAGAAAGAGGGTCTTCCTTGTTACATGCAGTAAAAACAGAGCAAAGATGGAAACTGCCGGCAGTTGCAGCAAAAGAATCCTGGAATTCTCGCCATCAAATTTTTCCGCATGATGATGCTGTGAAAAATTAGAGGTTCTGGACTGCCCAGAAATGTTGGATTGATTACGATAGACTTTAGTTTGAGAACTTGTTGTTTAGCTTGTATAATAACCATTAGCTTTAGTAACCACGAAATATGATTAGCGCTAAGCCGATGATCTTTGATGTTTCATTAGAATCGTACAATTTTCAACCCTAACCTAAAAAATCGGTGATTCTGAAGAAAACGCGAATTCCTCTAGAAAACCACATTTTAACGTAGATACAAGGACCAAGATAGTGGCTAGATAGATGACCAACCCCAAAATAGGTGATTTGTGAACACTGATTGAAAAAAGAATACTTAGATTGGCAAAAAAACTGAAAAATCTTTCGAAAAAGGGCTAAAACTGTGCAAATGATTTGCTCCAATGATCAAATTACAAGCTCATAAATTGGATTAGCTTTTTGTGAAAGTTTTCCAAGGTTTTTCTTAG